CTCAGGCTAGAATCCTGAGACTCTGCACTTTCTGTTCAAAATTGACGTGGTGGCGCTGCGGGCTAAACTGCAGAAGCCTGTGCGGCAGGGTCAGAAGACCAAGCAGTTGTAAGATCGAATCCACACAATGGAGTGAGCTCCCGTTGCTTTATCCCAGCTCCTCACCAACATGGTTTGAAAGCATGTAAATGTGAGTAGATAAATAGGTACCATCTCAGTGGGAAGGTAAAAACGGTGTTCCCTAATCACGCTGGCCACGTGTCCATGGAAACTGTCTTCGGACAAAAACGCTGGCTCTATGGCTTGAAAACGGGATGAGCACCACCCCCTAGAGTCAGACACGACTGGACTAAAAATGTCAAGGGGAACCTTTACCTTTACCTATCCCGACTTCATTTTCTTGCAGAGGTATTTTGCACAAATCGCGTACTGTCTTAGCCACACATCCGCTCTGTACGTGGGATATCTCCGATGTATCCTGAACAGCAACAAAGATTTCCAGGAGCGATACAATCAGGCGGCTCACTGGATGGACGCAGGCTTTAAGAACTCAAGCTTCCCTGCTCAGACTAAGGCAGGGGTTCCCAACCTTGGGTCCCCAGATATTTTTGGACTAAAACTCCCAGACACCTTCAGCACCAGCTCTTCTGGCCAGGATTTCTGGGAGTTGTAGTCCAAGAACATCTGGAGACCCAAGGTTGGGAACCGCTGGTCTAAGGTATTGTTGGGTTAAAGTTCATAGAATGAGAAACTTAGGGTGTGTCCAGAGAGGGTAATTGTTCCACAATGATTCACACATGCTGTATTACACAGTCACAGAGCATAATGTTTGTATATTCCCATGCTTACATTTCTGTTCTCTCAGGAGGCTGTTTCCACTCCCCATGCTGTGTTACCACCATTTCGTCTTTAAATCTGCTCCTTCCCATGTTTCTTATACACAACTTTTAAAAATCTTGTTCCTGCCCACCCACTGGATGCCTTGTTGCACACGAATATAAACAACAGGTTTTGGAGACAGGGATTTACCAAAATATTTCTTGGAAATAGATTCCACACATCTGCTGCAGACAGCGGTTGATTCCGTGTCCTTTAAAAAAAAGCAGCAAGCAATATAGCGCCGAAGTGGTTTAGCGCTACATCAGTATAGCGTGAAATATGAACTGAAAAAAATCATTTCACTTAAAACCACAGATTTTTCAAGATGTGGATTTGCCAGTTTTTTGTTGCTGTTGTATGTGTACTGCATGCTTCTTTTTCATATACCTCTTGATTCAACCCCCTTTTCTAATAAATAATTTAGTCCCAGTAATCACTCAGCAATAGGCAGTTGCACCAAAGCTCTTGAGGGAAAGCAAGAGTTTCAGATGGCATCAGGAGCAAGGAAGGGCAGAGGAAAACTTTCATGAATCGGCAGAACTATTCATCGGTTTGGTGCACTGCAGCAGTCAAGAGACAAATGAAAAGCCAGTATGTATCCAACACAACGAAAGAAACAGAAAGAAGGCCGGTACCACATAAATCTATTTATGCAGCTTTACATAAAAGCTGGCTGCAGCTCTGAGCCTCTTAGCAGGCTGGAACAAAATGAAAAAGGAACGGAAGATGACCTTCCTTGTTAAGGACAAAGAACCTCAGCTGGCCAAATAATAATAATTTTTAAAAAAGAAAATGAATTACTGTTGTGTGGAAGGAGTGACAAGGGAATGACAAGTGTCTAGAATTATAAGCAGTGCAGAGGAATTAATAAGGATGTTTAATTGTCCCACTTTGCAAGGGATTAATGCTTAGAAAAAAATGCATTGCACTGCTGAAAAACGTATTTAATGTCTTAACAGTTTAAAAATACTGGCTGGATAGCCCAGTAGTTTAGAGAGAGGTTGAGCGGTTGATTCCCCACTGTGCATTCCAGAAGAGCCAGCCTGGGTAGCCCTGGGCAAGCTGGCAGAGTCTCTGGATGACCTCAGAAGAAGGGAATGGTAGACCACTTCTGAGTATTCTCTGCCAGAAAGGGTCCCCTTCAGTCAGAATTAAATTAGCACACAATGATGATGATTTAAAAGATTTTACAAATAAAAAAACACACATCAAATGCAAGATTAAGTTTATTTTCATTAATATCCATCAACCCCAAAGTGCATTAATATAGTTGACAGAACTTTAAAAGCCCCCTTTTTTAAAAAAAATTGAAGTTAAAACTGGATTTTTCCAGGTATTTTTTAAAAACCTTTCTCTCCGTACAAAGCAAAACCACAACTGAGCAAGTCTGTGCTTTTATTATTAACAGTCCCTGCCTGACATAAAGTTTTTCCAACTTTTTAACCACATCCCTGAAGTGCACTTGAACACTATGGTCATTGTGTGTGTTTCCTTTGTCGTAACGCAATGAGCAAATGTCCGCAGAATCTCTTCAAATCCAGGGTCTGGTTTTTCACAGTCTGAAGCTTAATTTAAGGCCTGTTTATGCAGCAGAAGTTCTCCTCACAAAAGCAGCAAAGAGTTATCCATGCATACGACAAACAGACACCTGAACCAACAGAGAGTCAGCCTCAACTTCTGTAATTAAAAACCCCTTACAATCATAGAAATTGCCACAGCACAACAGTATCCAGGATCTGTCACTTCACAGAACAGAATCTGAGAGGGCAAAAGCATTGTTTTTGACAACTCAACATTTCCCAGTCCATAATTAAGGGAATCTATTTATAAAAGATGAAATTGCCTTGTTGATTCCTTCCGTATCATAGAATCCTCTTGCAGAATCGCAACCCAGAAGCCTACAGCTTTCTCATTTTCGTCTGTACAGTGGTGCCTCGCATTACGAGCCCTCCATTTTACGACGAAATCGCTTTACGTTGAAGGTTTTGCAATTGCAAAAGCGATCGCAAAATGATGTTTCCTATAGGGGAATTTCGGTTTGCGATGATCGGTTCCCTGCTTCGGGAACCGATTCTCGCAAAGCGATGATTTTCGGCCAGCTGATCGGCGATTTCAAACTGGCCACCGGGTAAAAAACATGGCTCACCGCTCTTTTCTGGGACAGATTCCTCGCTGCATTGGCAGCGAAAATGGCTGCGCTATGGAGGATCTTCGCTGGATGGTGAGTTTCAAGCCCCTAGGAACGCATTAATCAGGTTTTAATGCGTTTTTATGGGCTTTTTAATGTCACATTACGATGTTTTCATTCTACAGCGATTTCGTTGGAACGGATTAACTTCGTAATGCGAGGCACCACTGTACTTCAGTCCAAATTAACATAAATTAGGTGCATAGGTATCATTTTATACCTGGAATCTTCTGTGATGCAAATTCATTCCACTGGTTAGAGTAGAAAGATTCTTGTCCCTACGTCATAGGACAGAACCGTACTGCTATGTGACCACAGACAGCAGACAGCAGAACAGACTCCAGAGGAAGCTAAATGTGTTGAAGGATAAAATCTGGCAGGCAACGAACCAAGGGCCCTGGAGCAGAAACTCGAAGTCCCTTATGATATCAAACGATTTAGTTTAGCTGGAAGAGACCCTTGTCCAGCAGGCCGAGGCCAAGAGGCAGTCCCGAAACCAGCAAAATCAGGGAGCTGGACGAGGGACAGATTGTATTGGTCTTCAGTGTGGAAGGGATGGTCATTCTCGAATTGGCCTCCTCAGCCACACTAGACGCTGTTCCAAGACCTCTACTCAGAACACGTTACCCTAGTCTCTGGAGACTGAAGGGTGCCTACAAGTTTAGCTGGTTGGATAGCTCAGTGACGGTTTGAGAAGACAGCTGCATGCCTGATCACATCCGAAAGGAACACTTTAATAGGAGCAATCTCCAAACTGCAATCTGTGTGACTGCACCCTGAATCAGGTATCTGACTGTAGAGCCAGGGGTTGGGGGTTCGATTCCCACCTGTGTCTCCTGGAGAAAAGAGCCAGCCTGGGTAGCTTTGGGCCAGCTACCACAGTCCCAGGGTTCCCCGAGAAGAAGGGAAGATGGGAAACCACTTCTGAATACTCTCTACATAGAAATGTCTGACTTGATGGCACGCAATTGGAATTATTATAGTAGGACCCACATATCTGGAGGATCAGTATCGGCTGATTCACTGATCCACGGTCTGAAAATTTATGCATTAAAAGAAATTTTATGCATTAAAAATGTATGCATTAAAAGAAAATGTATGCATTAAAAGAAAATTTATGCATTAAAATAAAATTTATGCATTAAAATTTATGCATTAAAAATTTATGCATTAAAAGAAAATTTATGCATTAAAAGAAAAATTCTTGGAAATATGTTTCTAATGGCCACTGCACTGCAATGTATGACATTTGGTACTATAATAGAGTTCCCTAAATCCATGTTTTCCAGCATCCGCTGGGGCTTGGAGCTGATTTCCTGTGGATACAGAGGTTCTACAGAACAGCAGCTAACAAGGACAAGCCACAATTTCAAATGAGCCACAAACTCACTTAGTGGCTTCGAGCAAGCGGGTTCTTGTCCAGCCTCACCCTCACCCGAGGATAACACTTCTGTCCGGATCTACATAAAGTGCTTTGAATATGTGACATATTGTGGATTTTTGTTTTATATATCGACCGTAACAATTTTATTGACGGGCAACCACATGATGGTTACAATAACATCTGGAAACGTCTCATTTCCCCGTGTGTGTTCTGGTGGTAATTTCGGAATGCACCAACGCAACCTCAGAGCACTGGCGACCTCTGACCCACTCAAGGGGAAGTAATTGATAATTTAAAGGAAAACAGATGGCACATGGCCTACTATTCTGGCTCAGTGGTTTAAGTACTGTATCTGGTTGCAAGTTCGATTCCCCACTGACCCTCCTGGGAGAACAGCCAGATAGGTAGCCGTGGGCAAGCTGTGGGGTGTCCCCATAAGAAGGGGAAACCACTTCTGTATCTTCTCTGCCAAGAAAACCCTGAAAAGGGTCACCATAAACCAGAATTTACTTGATGGCACATTGTTATTATTATTATGAAGCTTGCAATTCAGTAAAGCACCTGTGCGGTAAATTTCCAGTCTTCCACAACCTAAAAGAGAAAAGGAGAACATCAGTACATCATCATCAATGTGCCCATAATCAGATACTGTTGGGATTTGCATTGCTGTCCGCAAAACCTACATGTAACCTGCTATAGCTAATTGTGGCTAATTGACAAGGTGCTGGAGCACATCTTGTCGTACAACTGAGCGCATGACCAGGTATGCAGCCCAGCCACATCATCTTCAACGTGCCCATAATCAGATACTGTTGAGATTTGCATTACTGTCCACAAAACCTATGTGTAACCTGCTATAGCTAATTGTGGCTAATTGGCAAGGTGCTGGAGCACATCTTGGTTGTACAACTGAGTGCATGACCAGGTATGCAACCCAGCGACATCCGAGCACCTTGTCAGCCTCAATAGGTTGGAACAAGTTATGCAAACCTTACGGCAACACCAGCAGGATTCTGATTGTTTCCACCCTATCCCTCAAAGTATCCCAAAGCGAAACACCGAGTGACACAAACACAAGAGGCCATTAAACAAACTCAATCTTCATCCCCACTAAATTCTCCTTTAAAATATTCTGAATTTAACGCGATGAGTAAAAGCTACACAAACCAGAACAAGCGTATGTAAAAACAGAGCATTAACTTAAAATCCTGAAAACACTGCAGAATTTTTGAAAAGCCATCATTCTCATCATCACCATCGCTGGGTGTGGAGTGTACTATCAACACTTATCTCGGGCCCTGCTATTGAGGGTGCCCACCCTGAGGGAAATAAAAAGAAAACCGTTACCAGAAACTGGGCTTTTTTAGTGGTGGCACCGTCTTTATGAATAAATTTCCATTAGAGATCAGGTCGGCCTCCTCCCTACTGTCTTTTATAAAATCATTGAATATTGCACTGTTCAGAGATGCTGTTGGTAACATCTGATATTAATTCTGTAAACCGTTGTTGTATTTCATTTTTTGGATTGAAGTTTCATCATTTCCATTTGTTGGGGTGGATTATATTTATTTTTGATCCGTTCTAGTTTGATTGATGTTTGTTGCTCGTGTCACCGGGTGGTCACCTTTCAGTTAATTTGACTGTCTGGATGGGAGAGGTGAGGTTTTTTTTTCCCCTTCTTTTTGTTTGATTGTATGGTATATTTATATTTTGTAAACCACCCCAAGTAGTGATTTCACTATGTTGGGTGGTCTATAAGTTTATAAATAAAATAAAATAAATGCAGTTAATTATCTTAGAGGAAATGGGGCAAAGTAACTTGTGGACACATTCTAGAGGAAAGGCTGTTGTTTGCCACTGTGTTAAGAGGTAGATTAGAAAATGCTTGTCTTGTGCTATTCATTGCTAAAAATGTCTTAAACTGGAGATTTCTTCTTATATTCAGCACTTGGGGGGTCGTGAACAATAATGCATCATCTTACTCAGCATAGCTAAAGGTAAAGGTTCCCCTTGACATTTTCAGTCCAGTCGTGTCTGACTTTAGGGGGCGGCGCTCATCCCACTTTTCAAGCCATAGAGCCAGTGCCTGTCCGAAGACAGTTTTCCATTGTCACGTGGCCAGCGTGACTAGGGAACGCCATTTTACCTTCCCACCAAGATGGTACCTATTTATCTATTCACATTTGCATGCTTTCGAACTGCTAGGTTGGCAAGGAGCTCGGACAAAGCGACGGGAGCTCGCTCCGGCGCATGGATTCGATCTTACGACTGCTGGTCTTCTGACCCTGCAGCACAGGCTCCTGCAGTTTAGCCCACAGCGCCACCACGTCCCCTCAACACAGCATCCAATAAATAACTCATTCTGTGGTCATCAATATAAAGTTCGTGTCAAAGGCCTAAATTTGGAGAAGGTTCACTAAATTGGTTGCTAACTTGGAAGTCCTACTCATACTGTGTGTCTACTCTACGTGGGACTGAAAGCTCAATTTTTGCCAGCTGCTTTAAAGTCAGGAAATGTCAAAAGTAAGTTTGTTTAAGACATGATCCACTGTAAATCTTGTACATGGTAAGATACGTACAATATTGTCACATCTGACTTACGCCAATAATAACAGCATTTTTGAGGTGAGACATTTAGAGCAGTTCCACCAGTGCCACCTCCAGTGAGATTCCTTGACTGATGGGGGATCATTTTTGAGGTGAGACATTTAGAGCAGTGCCACCTCCAGTAAGATTCCTTGGCTGAGGGGGGATTTGAACGCAGATCTCCTGAGTCCTAGTCCATCGCTTTACCAACAACATCACACTAGCTCTCAAAATAGAAACAGGCCATAAAGACTTGGATACACCATGACTTAATATACACACCTCACGTACTTCATTCTCCTTAACAATGTGCCTTGTAATGTACCGGATAGAATTCAGAGCTGTTTCCAAGGTGTTCTGAGAAAGCTCCGATCCGTTGCTGTTGTTGGCTTCCTCCTCCTGAGAAAAATACCTATCGACATGGCTTCTCATACAAAGCAGCTTCGGAAGTTTGTGGAGGAATATTTTGCGAACCCAAGGCGCCATAGTGTTGTGCGTTGACGAAGATCGGTGGTGAACATTAATAGCAAAGACTGTGATGACAATGGACAGCGTCACGAAAATCATCGTGAAGACCAAATATTCTCCAATCAGCGGTATGACTTTAGAGGACGAGGGTATGATTTCTTCAATGACGAGAAGGAAGACAGTTAGAGATACGAGCACTGACGTACACAGAGAGATTTTCTCGCCTTCATAAGATGGAAGGTAGAAGACCAGGATGGTTAAAAAGGACAGCCCTATACAAGGTATAATGAGAAACAGAGTGTAAAAGAGGGGCAGGCGTCTAATTATAAATGAGTAGGTAATGAAGGGATACCAGCAACAGCCATCGGTTCTGTTCCCTCTGGTGCCCGTGGCCGACACTATCTCCCATTCACCGTTATCAAAAAAATCCCTCTTGTCTACTTCTTCGTCAACTAGAATGATATCAACTTGGGATCCATCGTAAGTCCAGGAGCCAAATTTCATGGAGCAGTTCTGGAGATCAAAGGGGAAATAAGTGACATCAATGGTACAGGAACTTTTGTAATTTGCTGGCGGCGTCCAAGCAATAGTCCCATCATGCCTCACAACAGTTTTGGTGGACGTTCCTTCGAAGCGACCATCTGCGCTGAAAGAACATTCAGTGAGGAGCGGTTAAACATATGACTCGCCGACTTTCACAAACAGGTTTGCCGGAGACAGCCGACATAAAGAACATTCAGTGAGGAGCGGTTAAACATGTGACGCGCCGACTTTCACAAACAGGTTTGCTCTGGTGTTTTATTCATTTATTTTGGCAAACTTAGCATTTGGGCTAAATTTGTGCAGTTATAAAGTGCTTTGAAAATGAATGGGTGGCCAGAATCCTATTGATGATTTACGCTCGCCTAAGGGAAATTACATAAGTCTTGGTGGCAGGCCTCTGCTCATTGCTGAGGTTCCTCTTATATTCCTGGGTGCTTACGATGGATTGGACATTTGGGGATGCAACCGAACACCTTGTGAATGTGTGGGAATTTGCTGCCGCCAAGATATACTCATTTCCACTTATACAAGTGTAAATTGCCAACAGGATTTTGGCCAACATTGCTTAAAGCAGCGTAAATATTTCTAACAATGAAAAACTAAGCAATGTTAATCTCCTTATAGGAATAATTCCAGGGGACAGGGCAGAAGTAGAGAACTGAAAACACTCTCCTCCAGATTGTGTCAAAATGGACTACTTCCCAACAGCCTCTTTTTGGGGAGATCCATGACAAATTTCCATTTCCTAATACAGGCTATTGTGATTATTATTTTTAGAGGGGTTCAGGCTTGCATTTGCTAACTACAACATCCAGAGGTTTACTAGCTTCCACCCCCCAAACCGCAAATCTGCACACTTCCAATGAGTCCATGTTGCTTCCGAGCTGCCTTGGAAGGATTTATATCCTAGCAAACAGTACATAAATAACTGGAGCAAATATATCAACAAATAAAAAGCAAATAAAAAAGACAGGCTTTTTTAAAAAAGTCATTTCTATATAGTAACTGGAAATCATCGGATTTAAGCCGTTCAGACATATTTGTAAGTAAGAAATATAACCAAAATTCATTTTTTTATATCTAATTGGAAAATAACGTGCTTTATTATATATGGTATTGCTAGATAGCCTTTCTACTCATTTCTACTAATGCAGTTTTAAAGGCATATTTTTCAAGTTGGAGACAAGTGCCGCTGAAGTATAACTCATGGCAACAATTTTGTGCATCCTTTTAAGTGTGTGTGTGTCTCCCTCTCTGTGTGTGATGAACTGAATGTGACCGTACAGTGAAAGATACACAATTATACTGAAGATTAAAATGGTAATTAACAGCACTGAGAGTCACAGATATCAGTACAACGAATGGCACAGAGGAAATCGTGTTGGCTTCTGCAAGAAATCCATAATCGTTTTTAATTAAAGGCCTTTTAAATACTTGTTGGAAACTCACACCAGGGTTAGTGGTAGGGGTTTGAGCAACCGTAGGTCTGCAATGACGCCACCCATGTGCCACAGCCACAAAGATGGGAAGCATACCTTTGCAGTGCAGAAGTAGCAGCATTTCCAGCAGAAGGGGAGGGGGAATGCAGGCCATCATAATCATCTTAGGATATCTCATTAGATCTTAGAACTTCAGAGCTGGCAGAGACCGTATGGATTGTCAAGTCCAGGCCCTATCAAGGAGGCAGAGCCGGGAATTGAACTCCCAAACTCTCGCTCCGCAGCCAGAGACCTAAACCACTCAGCTGGGATATTCACCAGCAATACTCTCTTCTATGGGACAGAATAATTACATCTCCAGCTTTATGCCTTGACCTAAACCACTCAGCTGGGATATTCACCCTCAATATTCTATGGGACAGGATAATTACATCTCCAGCTTTATACCTCCATCAACTGCTGTTCTGCCTCCCTTTTCTTGTCTCTAACTTCTATTCCCGTTTTCCTTTTTGGAAAACAATGGCTAAACAGTCTCTTCTGCTTTTCCCTTCCTCTGTCTATCCGGCCAAGAATATGATTCTCGAATTCCCCATCCGTGCCATTCAAATACATGACAATAACTCAGGTCGTGATCTACTGGAGACCCTTTTCACCATTCATAAAAGCAGGGAACTATTCTTCATGGATCCAGCAGATCTAATATATTTTATGATTCGAGGAATCACAGTTTCTGTCTTGGGAAATATGGTTCTCCATACTTTGTATGATCAGCATGCTATTCTATGAGATACACAGCTGAAGGAAAATGATCCAACTCCAGAAATGTCAAAATAAAACCTATAAAGTTATTTACTCTCTCAATATATTTGTGGATCAGCAGTAACTAATGCAGAACATTGAAATGCTTACTTGTCGTACAAAACAATGTCAGGAATCCATATGGAATCTGAAGGTACACGGATAGATGTTATCCCAGCATACTCTTTCGGGTCCCACTTCAATTTTACATCCACCCATTCCTAGAGGGGGAAAAAATGTAATTTTCTTTTTAAAAGTTCCTCTTCGTTACAAAGGGCTACCTACTAGAGAAGGCCACAGATCCGGTGTTCAGGTACCCTCTCAAAACAACCATGGGAGGGTTTAAACTCTACCAAGAGTTTCTTTGTTTTCTTTCTTTATTTTTTTAAATAGTAATTTATTAAATATTAAAAGCATTAATTAATTTAATTAACTATTAATTAATTTAATTAATTTTAATATTTTTAATTTCTTTATTGTCTTTCAAATGGACTTCATTAAGACCTTGTAAAGTGAAACAAACATAGGATGAGAAATGATTTCTCACTTCAGGCTGTATGAAAATAATTCAACCTGCTGTCTTCTAATTTAAAATTTAATACCAACTGAACATGGAAGCGAGTGTTTCTTCCAATGTATTTGGGTTACATAGGTTATGGTCTCACTGCTCTGTAATTCTTTTACACAGCTGTCATATACCTATCTCTCAGAAAGAAGCCCCATCAAGTTCACTGCAACATATTCCAGATACAGTTGTGCCCCGCTTGACGATTACCCCGTTTGACGATAAATCCAATTCACGATGATGTTTTTGAATGGGTTTTTTTCGCTTAGCAATGATTGGTTCCCTGCTTCGGGAACTGATTTTTCGCTAAACGATGTTTTTTCAAAACTGATCGGTGGTTTTCAAAATGGTCTCTGGCTCTCAAAATGGCCCCCTGCTGTTTTTAGGAGGCATTTTTTGCAAGAGAGGCACCGGAAAACAGCCGCCCTGTGGAGGATCTTCACTTTACGACTTCACTTTACGATGAGGTCTTTCGCCCATTAGAATGCATTAGCCGGTTTCTAATGCATTCTAACGGGCTTTTTAATTTCGCTTAACGAGGATTTCACTTAACAGTTATTTCAACGGCACAGATTATCCTCGTCAAGCGAGGCACCACTGTACTTGTTTATCGGACAGTGATCTTAATAGATTCCCCCCATAAAGGCGATCTCAGAGATCTGTCCAGGGGATAGAATTCAACCTCTCTCCCAACTTTTGGGCCACCATTCTTCTCGGCTACAATGGGCTTCACGTACCTGCTTCAACCACACGTTTGTGGTCATGAGCTGATTTTTCTCATCCTGTTGAGAAACAAGAGGGGTGTACAATTTTACAAGGTCCTCCCAAACCCCATCAACAATCCACAAAATATAGCATTTATTCTACAGGTAGCTTCAGGATCAGGGACAGCTCTGGGTTCAGGAGGGAATTTTTTATTGCATTCTCTGATGGGCCTGCACCAACCCACTGGTGCTCCCGCATAAAATCTGATGATTAACCAAGAGAAGAAAGAGAGACTAACATCTCATTTTCCTACAACAGCCCAAAACAACCCTATAATATGGGTTTTCAGGGCATTGTAGGAAATTTAAACCGTTTCTTGAAATTGCCTAGTATTCAAGACAACCACAGAAGAATCATCCTGGGTGGGTCTTGGTTTGACTCCCAAGATCCTGACAGATCCACATGGATGCCGGATGCTGACATAGTAAGCCCTTGATATTATCTGTAGCAAAGGATCTCTGTTAAACATTGGTGGATCATTTTCTGCAGAAAATTCTGAAGGACAGAAACACAATCCATAATGGATTTCTCTTGTGCAGCTCTTTGATTTAAAAAAAAAAAAAAAACTCCTGTAGTCTTCCACCTAATGGGTGAGAGCCATCATTGTGCAGCTCTTTGATTTAAAAAAAAAAACCTCCTGTAGTCTTCCATCTAATGGGTGAGGGTCATCAAATAATAATCTTAGAATACCAGAACTGGAAGGGACCCTATGGATCATCGAGTCCAGACCATCAAGGAGGCCCTATGGGGAATCAAACTCCCAAACTCTGGCTCTGCAGCCTCATGCCTAAACCATTGAGCTGTCCAGAAGTTCATGAAAATGCCTAAACCACTGAGTTGTCCAGAAGTTCATGAAATACAGTAAAGTGTTCTGATTTCCAGTCATATCTAACACAACTTTTCTCTTCTCTGCAGCCTTAGTTTCCAACTTTGTTAATCTGGGCTGCCAAGCCATTTCGGACATATGGCAACCCAAACAGGGTCTTAAAGATATGTGAAATGTTTCAGAAGTGGTTTTGCCTGTCTCACACACCCTGCTATGTGAAATGTTTCAGAAGTGGTTTTGCCAGTCTCACACATCCTGCACGAGTTTCCATGGCCAAGCAAGGATTTGAACTCAGGTCTCCAGAGTTCTAATCTATCACTCTATCCCCTACACCACGTTGGTTGGTTCAACTGCTCTGGCTGCTTAAATACCCTCATAAATAGCCTGCCTTGACCAACAGATAAAGACGACAGAAGATTATTTTAAAAAAACTTTTTATACTAGACTACTTTGTTTTCTACAGCAATCAATCCTGTTGCGTACATTACATGGGCCTAAAATGCGATGATACCACCGGTGAGGGGAGATGGCTGATAATGAAAAAGTCTCTGCTCTTTGTGAAAGAGACAGGCTCTCCTAACTATGTGCGTCTGACAACGAACTCCTTTGCATTGGAACAACTACGTGTAAAAATCAGCCAAACAATAACAGAGGAGCAGAGCGTCTAACATACCACATCCACCAACTGCGAAATGGCCAGGCCAAATTTCACTTTGATTGTCTCATTCAAACGTTCGACCGGGCGGACCCATCTTTCATAGTCTTCGAATAAATGTTTAAACAAACGGTCTTCACTCCGAGCAATGAAAGAAGGTTCTGATGAACCTGCAGGTAAAGTAAGAGGATCATGATGTTATGTACACTTCCACGCACATGGGTGCGCGCACACGATGCACAGTTTAAATGGCATTTGGTGCATTCTTATTATTGGCACTATAAAACAATAAAGTAAACGACTATGAAAGGATTTCTGCTTGCCATGTACACATTTGATAAGGGTGAAAGGAACTGGTGGCAGAAAATGTCCCTATTTAGAGAGAGGGGTAGAAGGGAATGAGACAATCCTATCTAGCATATTAATATTGCGATTGTTATTATTTATTTCTTTATTTTGTAAATTGCATGTCCACCCTGCCTTTTTACTACTTGTTAGTGCTTAAGGTGGTTTACAGTCATCATAAAAGGCCAAGCAAAATCAACTTCAATCACAGAATCCTTAAAATCCAGTAAAGTCAAACATGGCCATTGAAAAACACCTGATTGGTTTATACACAACTACAGTATGTGTGTAAACAGCTCAAATCACCACAATAAATGGAACAATTTGATGAAACACTTTTAAGAGAGGTGTCCTCAGACCCTTTCCTGAATGCAGCAAGTGTGGAAATGGATGGAAATTCAGAATAGAGGTCATGCCCTAACTCAGGAGGAGATTGGGAGAAGATCCTCTCGTGTGTTTGTCCAGGCAGTCTGATAACATTTTAAGTCAGCTCCTGCAAATCTGGCCATTTACTCCATGCCAGGAAAGTAAAATAGGCTGATCATCCCATAGAAATCATGCCGAAGACCTTTTGAGACTCTGCCTCCCCCTGCAGTTCCATCTGTGAACATTTCACGACCATCGGCCACCGATTATTATTATTATTATTCTGGGCATTTATTCCAGAAATGTAGCCAGTGTGAGGGAAAGCCAAGTCACCTGGCATCCACCTCTGCTTCCAGGAACAACACATGGCAATTTGTCCCTGTGCTCGGCTGTGTTTTGACTTCCAGTCCAGTGAATTTGCACGGCTGGGCTGCAGGCGTGAAAATGAAAGTGAGACGATAATAGGGAGAGACAACTTAAGTGACAAAGCTACACCCGGGAGGCAACAAGGGGAGGTTCAGCCCCGAGAATTGTACAAGAGACAAGAGGATGAGAGAGGAAGATCGCCAAGCCTTGGTACAACGTGTTTCAAAGTACAGTTTCAGCCTTTTGATCCCAAACAGCGCACGGCTCCCTTAAAGGAGTTCATCTCTCTGTTTACTGCAGTGGTTTCCATCCTCGGGTCCCCAGACATTCTTGGACTAAAACTCCCAGAAGCCTCCACCACTAGCTGTGCCGGCCAGGATTTCTGGGAGTTGCAGTCCAAGAATATCTAGGGACCCAAGGTTGGGAACCCTTGGTCTATGGCAATATCATTTCTTAATATCTCCCTGAGTTACCCTCTGGATGCAAAAGTAGGGTTGAACTTGACTTGATTGGCAGATGAACCCGTGGGCGAAAACCACGAGCGCTATTAAATGATGATGTTCAGGGATATTAGACATCTGAAATCTCATTCGTGTCTGCAAGTCAATCCTTCATATGAGAACAAACAAACGATGACATCCATGCATAAGATACTGCCATAGCTTGCTCTGCCTCCATCACTTTAAGTTGAGGAGAGCACAAAGTCTACCCTCTTCACCAGTTATTCCTAGCTGGCTTCATGGTTTTGGTATCTGGCGGTGGAATCAGAGTTTGTGAGTTCGATTCCCCACTGGGCCTCTTGAGAGAAGAACCAGCCTGAGTAGCTTTGGGCCAGCTGCACACTCCCTGAGCTTCCCCAGAAGAAGGGAAGGGAAAAACACTTTCGGAGTATCCTCTACCTGGAAAACCCCTGAAAAGGGTCGCCATTAGTCAGAATTGACTTGACAGGATGATGATGATGAGCATAGCCAATGGCGAACAATTCTGGGAGGCACGATAAAAACACATCTGGAAGGACACAGCTGCTCACCCATCATCTAGGTTAAAAAGGCAAAAGATTTATACAATCTGAAAAGAAACCTAGGTGAAGTCTTGGTTAAGTTCACAGTTTCTGCCTTTGGGCACCTCATCCCTCAAAGCAATCCGAACTTGCCTGCAGATCAAAGGCTGTTTCTCCAGATGCCAAAAAACCAAAAAGAAGAAGGTACAAGTTTCCAAAAAAATATAAAAATCTATTTTCATCAATAGGTTCAAGACGAGCCCCGTATTTAGCATATGGCGTCCCTGCGGCCAACGAAGCCATCAGCCAAAGATCTGAGAGAGGAAGTCGAAGTTGAATGAAACAATCAATGAGCTGGACAAGTGGGGGAACAACATGGTGCCGTCTGTAAAAGCCAAAACACACATGTTTTGGATTGCTCACGCAATCACATTCCATTGGCTTAACACGTCCCCTCACCACCAAATGGATCAGACTCTGACCTGCAACAGGAATGACTTAGGAAGCTGAGATCAACTCAGCTCCGTTGTACCATAACTGTATGGATGTAAGGGAGGTAGAATGAACCCCAGTTATGTAGTGCCGGGCTATATTTCTGAGTCTCCGTTGGAAAGCTAGAGGTTTCAAGTCAAGCAGAACTTCACAAGCTTCTTCAATTGCTGATGAAGACATCAAGCCTTTACATGATGGCATGAAGATTTGGACCAGGCCGTGAGACATCATCTGGTGCTACTTGAGAAGCTTTGGAGCAGCAGCTGATACAGTAAACACGGTTACTGATGCAACATTCTGTTAGGGTTGGACCACGTGCAAAATTTATCATGGCAGTGTTCAAACAGATGGAAACCTGGAACCTTTATGTCAGTGTTAGCAGCCCATTCCTTAGCAGCCGTTTTTGCAAACTTAGTAATGAATGAATGGTAAATCCAAGTAATCCTTGAGCATTTAAAGAATGCAATTTGACGTATCTTTCTTTTATAGTGTTCCTCTCTCCCTTTGCAACCTGGTACACTCAGATTAAGAAGGTGAACGAAGCAGAGAAACGATCCCATCATAGTTATTTGGAAAGCGCTTGACATTTTGTAGACATCCGTGTAGCAAAGTGCAATTAGGCAAGCTTGGGTCTCCCGAACCATCTGGCAAAATCACTGGCAAAAACAATAATACTCCAGGCCGATAAGCGTCAGGTGAAGAACTGGGGGAAGTTTCTCCTCCAGCTCGTGAAATCCCTCGGGGATTTCACAAGCCATCTGTTAAGAGGACATGAAACTCTGCCTCCATCAACAGACTGGACTTATAACTACGTATATTCAGATGAGGTTTGCTTATTCTGTGCATTTATGGTTCTCAATATAAATTAACAACTTATGTTAATCTATATGCAAATGAAGCACTGCCATCAGGCTTCCAGCAAAAGAGCAGATGATGTGCTTGAGGTTTCAGAAGTTCCGTGCGAGTACATTTCATGTATAGCCGCGCTGTGCCAGCAACAGTTTCTCCTGCCTGTGATATAGGGCCGAACGGCCACTCGGCTTCCCTTGCAAATTTAGAATCCCGGCTTTCGCAGTGATCATTGCTGACATCTCCACATAAGCATTCGCATTTCTGGAGAGTCTAGCATTATATAATCCCCGCCGCCTAATTTCTCTTCTGCCTGCTGAAAAATTTACATCACCTCCAGCACGCGCAAGTCACTGGCCTGTGGAACCATACCCGGTCTCCGCTCAGTGAAGCGCAAAAAATCGTGTCCACCTGCCCCCTCTTTGGAAACAATAGGATGCCAGAAAAGAATCTGCAATTCAAACGAGTAGTGGAAACCGAAGAGAATGGTACATTTATCTCAAAAATAAAAATAGGACTTAAAGCGCCCGACTAATCCCCATGCAAACCATCAGCTTTGCACAGCTCAGCTTTGATGTAACAAAAGGTCTCCGCTCAGTGAAGCGCAAAAAATCGTGTCCACCTGCCCCCTCTTTGGAAACAATAGGATGCCAGAAAAGAATCTGCAATTCAAACGAGTAGTGGAAACCAAAGAGAATGGTAAATTTATCTCAAAAAAATAAAAATAGGACTTAAAGCGCCTGACTAATCCTCGTGCAAACCATCAGCTTTGTACAGCTCAGCTTTGATGTAACAAAACACAGATGTTACGAGAAGGATCTGTGCGTTTCTCCCGAGTCCTTCTAATGCAATTTGTAAACTTGCCTTGAGTTGAATCATTTCAAATTAAGCTGTGGAGCCAGCACTCCGACTCATTTTCCCCCCTATTTACTCAGCATCTTATTTTCAGATACTTTCATTTAAGGAAATCACAACAACTGAGAAGTTTTCTGCCAGCATTTCATACCTTCTCCATATTAAGTACACAACTTACAATTCCCCCACTCACCCATTGTGACTGAAAAGAGTCACTTCTTTTCTTGTTCAATATTATGCATTAAATGTCGAATTTCACTACTTGATAAGTATGCCTGCCACCTCACACAAACTTTTGATCAAGCAGAAAGACACAGAACTCCTGCTTATTCCTACTGTTTTCCCGAAAATAAGATAGTGTCTTATATTAATTTTTGCTCCAAAAACACATTAGGGCTTATTTTCAGGGGATGTTTTTCCCTCCATGTACAACAATCTACATTTATTCAAATACAGTCATGTCATCATCTTCTGGTTGCTGCACAAGGGTGGGAGGTGGGGTTTCACAAACTAGGGCTTATTTTGGGGGTAGGGATTATGTTACGAGTATCCTGAAAAATCATAATAGGGCTTATTTTCAGGTTAGGTCTTATTTTCGGGAAAACAAGGTATATTTCGATGGAACTTGTTTATTCTGCAAATATACATCCTGTCCTTTCATTGTATTTAGAGAGTATTTGCTGTGACCTTAAAGGATCAGCCCACATGATTATTTCTGTTTTGCCCCAGAATCGATATTTTAAGGCCACTTCTTCTTCAGAATCTATGCTGTACTGCCTTCTGAAGGATGAACCTTTCCCGAACTAAGGAAAGAATATATTTCCTCCTATAAATATACAGGAAGCACAGGCGGTAATAAGAGATTTACAACATACCCATCAGAAAAAAAGGAAAATGTGCACAGCAAGCCGATACCACCTCTACTGTTTCAGTATATAGTGAAAAACAAATAGTTCAGCTAGGAAAGAAAGATGTGCAAAAATCAAGGTGTTTATATATAGTGATAATATAAATATATATAGTGATTTTTAAAGAAATCATCCTCAGTATCCTCTCTGCAAAACAGAACACTAAAGCAGTTCAATTTGTGATTGATAGAACTCTTTGTATTCTTTTTAAAAATATATATATATAAGGACTCAAAAGACTTTCCTGCTAATCTCTGCTTTTGCATTGTCTCCCCAGGGTTGCTATAATAGTGTTCAAAACCCTCACGGGGAGTTCAAATCAGATTTAAACCATCTGAAATCTCTGGAAGGGAAGAAAAGCAGTCAGAGGCAGAGAGAAAACGTCTCTCTTCATCCATTTAATATCCTTAGAGAATTTCCTCTCATCTCCTCTGAGGGTGGGGGCAATGTTTGTTTTTTTAAAATGTGGAAATCCTCCATCGTTCATCTTTAAGACGAAAATGGTATTCTGGTCCCTTATTTGTACACGAAGCCAGACTAAACTCTTGGGAAAACAGGAGAAAGGTGGCGAGGGAGGGAGGTGGGTGAGCTACATCTTAGAGAGAGGGGAGAAAAGTCATTAAGAGATTTTTTTAAAAAACACCAAATGTCAAGAAGAGAATGAAGATAACTAAAAACATGTTACAATGGTGCTTCGCTAGACAGTTACCCCGCATGACAGTTTTTTCGCTAGACATTGACTTTTTGCGATCGCTACAGTGATTTGCAAAACAGTGATTCCTATGAGGGAATTTCGCTGGACAATGTTTGGCCCCTGCTTCGCAAACCGATTTTTGCTAGATGACGATTTTGACAGTTCCCTCCGCGCTCGCAAAATGGGTGTTTTTGGGACCTAAGCTTCGCAAGACAGCTATTTAAACAGCTGATCGGCGGTTCGCAAAGCGGCTTTCCTATGGCCGATCTTCGCTAGACAATGACGATTCTTCCCCATTGGAACGCATTAAACAGCTTTCAGTGCATTCCAACGGGGAAATGCTTTTCGCTAGACAATGATTTCGCTAAACAGTGATTTCAGTGGAACGGATTATCATCGTCTAGCGAGGCACCACTGTCTTTTTGGCTGATGGGGGCAAAGTGAGCCACACTGGTGGCATGAAGGAGTGCAGAGCATCGTCTAGCGAGGCACCACTGTATTTTTGGCTGATGGGGGCATGAAGGAGTGCAGAGTTCACCAGCAACCTCGTGTATCCTGTCTGCCTCTTAGCTTTTCATCATTTTTCTCCCTTGCCTCCGACAGGAACCCAAAATAAAGCAAAGTCCTGTGCATTGGAACCCAAGTAAACATGCAGGGCAAATGCAGCTGAATGCCTGAGGTGGAGCATCTCAGGGACACGGATATCTAATAATAGCTCTGGCTGTTTAGATCTCTAGGTTTGGG